AGTTACCATGAAGATAACATGCAAGCAAGTACAAATCTATGCTAGGAAATCAAAAGCTATTCATGTATCAGTAGCACGTTAGGGAGAGTAACATTCATGGAGATCCATCATCTATCAATTGCTCCACAGTAACTGAATTGAGGTAATCATAGTCAAGAAGAAGAAAGTTTCTGAATATAAGATAACACAATGAACCTACTGAGAATGATTGTTATTGATTATGGAGGAGGGGGGTGGAATTATTGGTTCTCTTTTTAACCTAATAGTAGTTGTTTCCTCAAGATAGATGAGCCCAATTTTCAAGTTGGTTGTTACATCTGTAACTTTGTGCATCAATGTCTTTTTACATATTTCCTTCTAACTCATTGAAGAGCCACGGTGGCAGAGTGGTTAGAGTGCAGTACTGCAGGCTACTTCTGATGACTGCCGGCTGCCTGCAATTTGACAGTTCAAATCTCACCAGGCTCAAGGTTGACTCTGCCTTTCATCCCTCCGAGGTGGGTAAAATGAGGACCCAGATTGTTGGGGGCAAATATTGCAACTCTGTAAACAGCTTAGAGAGGGCTGTAAAGCATTGTGAAGTGGTATATAAGTCTAAGTGCTATTGCTATCTGTGGCACCATACTGGGGAAAATTATGGTAATACCATCTCTGATACACCCCTCATCATGATTTTTCATATTTAATGAAAAAGGATACCAGTTCTGTAAAATTCTGGATGACCACAAGATTGAATTGAACAGTTCATAAAACTGTTCTCTTAATCCACATTTCTGAAGTTCAGATCTGATAGACTTGCAATACATCTTCTGGAATTGACAGTGACAAGAGGCCAATGCCTTTGTCTCAGTCGCTTGTTTCCATTATGCGAGAGATTTTGGAGAAGGACTGTCACCCTGTTGTCCCCCACTTTACAATTGATAGAACCTTTGGTTCTGTGGTGAAATCTGAACCGGTTTGCTGGCCGTGCATGCGTGCTGCGGGCCAAACACACACTGTGTGCACACATGCAGTGTGCGCCAAATGCAAACTGCACACACACACACAGGTGCAGTACGCGCCAAAAGGAGGCTTGGGAAGGTAAGTAAAACAGTGAGGAGCGGGATCAGCTGTGTCGTGTGATTTAGCTTTGCTAGAAAGCAGGATTTCCTGCTTTCTAGCAAAGCTAAACCGTGCGGCACAGCTGATCGTTGGAAATACTAGTTTGGAGGAACCGGTAGCATTTCACCCCTGTCTTGGGTGTTGCTTTGCCCAAGCTAACCTTGGCCTTGCAGTTGTAACCTAGTCAAGTCTGCAGCTCACAAGCCCCATGATACTGCAACGCTGGGTCTCTCAAGTACTTCCTGGAGCTCCAAGGCTCTTTCTACCAGCCCACGTCCAGTAAAAAAAAAAATCCCTCAATATCTCTAGCAGCTTTGCCCTTGCATTTTCCCTGTGGCATTCTTCTTCCGCTGAAGCTCGAACAGGAGAAAAAGTTGAGCCTGGATGCTGCAGCCAGGCCTTTGTTACAACAAGCAGTTGTCAGTTCAACTGAAAGGAACTGCCTGGCAGAATACCCCCCTTGTGGCTTTAATACAGGACTCATTTCTTTGCAAAGTGTAGGCCGGAGGATGAAAGGGACAGGAGGGGGGGGGGAGGAAGACTGGAAAGTTTCTGTTGGATGCTGTTCAGAAGCCTTCGCCCAGCAGGCGAAACCCTGGGTGGAAAGAAAACAGAGCAGGCAGTGGAAAGTGCTGACTCTGAAAGCAACAGTTGGCATCTTCCACCAGCCAGCCAGCCAGCCAACCAGTTGTTGGAGTCACCTGCAGCTGCAGAAGAAGTCAGGCCTGATTCCACTAGACGGATTCTGATTTTGGCCCTTTCCAAAGCTGACATGCAGCGAGTAGCTGGCTTTATGACTTAGTAAAGAGCTTTTGATTGCAAGAGAAATAAATAAATAAAAGTCCATCTGCTGTGTGTCTCTGGACCAGACTAATGCAGCAATGAGGTTCCTTTGCTGTGGTCCTGCTAACATTCTTGAAGGTGTCCAGGGCAGATATTGATCTGAGACTTTTAATTTGAAGAGGCAATCATTTAGGCCAGGGACGTCAAGCTCGATTTCATTGAGGGCCGCATCAGGGTTGTGTTTGACCTCGGGAGGCCGGGGTGGGCATGGTCAGCTCAATATCACTCGTGTTGGGGGTGCCTGTGGTGGACTGAGCTCTCTGCCAGTGAAAACAGGCTCCAGAGCTCTATTTTCAGCTGTGACGGCCTCCTGAAACCCTCTGCCAGCGAAAACGGAGCTCAGGAGGGCCGCCCGCAGCCCTCGCAAGCTCCGTTTTTGCTGGCAGAGGCACCATAGGCTGGTCCTTTGCTGTTTCCAAGGTGGCCCTGCAGGCCAGATCTAAGCACCCTGTGGGCCAGATCCGGCCCCTGGGCCTTGAGTTTGATACCCCTGATTTAGGCAATCTGTCTATTCTCAGTCATCCAGGTCATTGATGTCCTAAAAGTTTTTTTTTTTTTCTCCAAAAGGCAACTGTGGACTTTCTTTGTTTTCCTTTGAAGATGTTTTGCTTCTCATCCAAGAAGCTTCCGATGAAGCTTCTTGGATGAGAAGTGAAATGTCTTCAAGGAAAAACAAAGAAAGTCTAATTGCCTTTTGGAAAAAAACACCTTTGAAACATTTAGGAAATCCTTTTTGACATTCAGTCTAGATTCTCAAGTCAATTCCATTTGAATCACTGAATTGGTAAGGAAAATGGAGTCAGGCTTTTGAAGCAGAAAGGTTCAAAAGAATTAAAGAAAGGTTCAGAATTAATCAGAAGGGACCATTCATCCAAAAGAGATTGAATAGTATGCAATTCGCCAGTTCTTTGATTCAATTGTTTTCCTGTCTAAAGTAATGCATCCAGGAGCCCACCAGGTGGGTGAGCTAAGTGTGAGATAAAGCTGGTCCAAACGAGTCAAGATGAGGAGTAAACACAAACCAGATCCTAGACTATCTTCATTGGCCCTGGAGCTTCAGAAGTGGCTGCTGAAAAGCTGGTTATCCTTTGCTATCTTATCAGGTGTAGCTGTCATGTCCAAACTCCTTGAAGGAGTTGGGATATGTGTGAGCAGTCTGTTAACGAGCCAAAGGAGAGATAATCCTTGGATTCTCATGTCTAGAGATTCCCAAACGACAGACATTCTCATAGGGTAAGACCCACTGCCCAGCCAGAATTCCTGCTCATTTTGATTGTGCAAAATCTCTTGGTTCCTCTGATTAGCAAGGAGAACAGAATAGTTCCCATTCTTCTCGCAATGCCTTGATTAATCTTAGGACCAAATCATGATTCCTATGACTTCTAACAAGACCAAACCATATACAGTAGTGACCAAAATTGTGGAAATCTTTTGGGAAAAGTGTATTTTCTAAAACTAGCAAATAACACCACTTTTTTTTGGAGTAGTACCATAAAATTATATATCAATGGAAAGATAATTTAATCAAGACTGTAATGCGATAACTTTTATAAAGGATTTGCTATTAGAATAGCAGTTACAGTATAAAGAAGAAAAGTGAAACACGTAGAAAAAAACAAGATACAAAAATTATCACGTCAGTTAATACTTAGTTGGGTAACCTTTAGCATGAATTATGGCCTTACAGCATCTTCCCATGGAGTGAACCAAGTCTTTGAGTTCTGCAGCTGTTATAAGGTGAAACAAAGATTGAATGATGGCTTCTATTAACTGGGTTTTATTGCTGGGTCACTTCTGACTAACAAGTTTCTTTAGTCGGCTCCATAGATTTTCAATTGGGTTAAGGTCTGGACTATTCCCAGGCCATCCCAGCAGTGGAATAGGATTATCTTGAAACTCCAAAAAAAGTGGTGCTATTAGCCATCAAACCTCAAAAATACTTTTCCCAAAAGGTTTCCACAATTTTGGCCACTACTGTACATATCCCATTACAATTAGTTTGATTTTTGTTGTTTTTATGTCTGCAGGAGATTAGTGTGTCTCTTTGGACAAGTAATTTCCCGGATACAGAATCAATGGATCTACTAGTTCAGTTTTATCCAGATCAAGGTCAGGAATTTTTCCTTAGCTTTCCTGGATATGAACCTTCTGCACGATTCCTAGAAAGCCAACCTAACTAAACTATATTTCTGTTCCATGGGAGAATAGAGTCTTTTGATACAGGAGGCCAACATTTTAATCCAAGGTTTCTCTTGCGGACTGAAAAAAAAAGACTCCAATCTAAAGTCCCCAAAATTAGTATATATTTTGCATGACAACATGTTGCAATTCTACTTCTACCCCATTTCCATATTTAATTTATTCTCAGAATGTCTGGAAAGAGTTTTAAACAGGTATAGCGAAGCCCAGAAAGCTGCTATGTTTTTGGTCCATTTAACAGTTAGAGCAGTCTTTATTTGGAGACCTCTGCAGAGATTCAGACAGAAGCTACTCCTAGCTGGAGATGATTGAAAGTAAATTTGGGATGCAGAACAGGTATTTCTCATGAGCTACCATCCCCCACTCCCTGAGCACTATATTTTGGTCTCCAATCAAATTTAGAGAGCCAGTTTGATCTAGTGGTTAAGACACTAGGTTAGAAACTATGAGATAGTGAGTTTTAGTCCCGCCTTAGGCATGAAATCGGACTGGGTGATTTTGGGCCAATCACCAGAAAGGTATGAGTTCTAGTCCCGCCTTAGGCATGAAAAGCATCTGGATGACCAATCACCAGGAGACTGAGCGTTCTAGATCTAGTCCCGCCTTAGGAATAAAATGGAATGACTTTGGTTAGTCATTCTCTCTCTCAGCCCCACTCACCTCACAGGGCTGTTATTGTGGGGAAAATAGAAGAAGGATAATGTGTTGGATATGTCTGAGTCTTCAGAGAGGGGCAGCATATAAATTTAATTAATTAAATTAAATTAAATTCACTGCCTTGAGTTATTTATGAAAATAATAAAGGCAGGACATAAACAAACAAACAAACAAACACATAGACAAAAGTAAACAAGGCATGTCTTTGCAATATTTTAATTTTGAATACAATCAGAAATAAGGCTACAGTATATAAAAACTCTCCAGAAGAATGATGTGCCAGCATCAGCAATCAAAACAAAATCTCTTCCACTCCCTATTAAGTCTTCAGTGTGGGAGAGGTTGCGATTTTGAATTTCTTAAAAAACACAGATAACGCTACATCTCTAAGCTACCTCAGCTGAGTTTGGTTTTCTTTCATTTCTTTTTTTTTCCCTCCTAAAAAGCACCTGCTTTTTCTCCTTTATAAACAAAAACAAAAAACAAAAACGTTTTGCTTTTAAGGCATTTTTTGTTTCACTTCTATAAAATATAAATTATATGAAAATACAAGTTGGAAAATAGTTGAAGAGCATAATATAACAATCTTTTCTTCTTTTCCTAAACTTATCAGCTTAAAAAACAAAAACAGATATAAAACATTGACAAAAAAAAAAATAAGGAACACAATATTTATTTATTTATTTATTTTAAAAAAGTTCACTGAGGCAGTTAATTCCTGGAGATATTTCTGTCATAATAGATATGCATACATCAAGCATCATTTACTTCAGACATCTTTGGAATGGCGACGCTAGTTCATTCCATCTATAGAGACCCCGTCAGAAACGTAACTGGAAAAAAAATGAACTGGCAGTTCTGCAGTAACTGTAATCTATGCTGAATTGGCTTTTTGTACAACTCTTTCACACATTCTGTGGTAAAGCAGACGCCCTTGTTGTTGTTTTAAAAGTAAGCCAAACATGTAATGTGTGAATGAGGCCTGAGCCCCTTTTGACAAGAGCTTTCAATTGTCAATACCCATTAACTTTACACCTTCCTTCCTTATCTAGTTCCCAGAGCTGAGTGAAGTATCTCTGCTAGTGCAAGGAGAATACAAAAAATGATACTGCCTGTCTGTCACTGCAATTGAAAGGTAGATGGCAGAAAGTTAGGTACAAACACTGATAAGGGAAGAACGCTACCAGGGCTGTCATGCAGCATGGCTGGCTCTCTGTTGCCCTTTCAAGATCCCTGAGAATATATCTGTTGTGAACACTGGACAGATTGAATCCGATTTTGATCCCAAATGTTGGGAAGATTGCCAGAAAGTTGTAGGTGCAATTTTTTTTTCCAGTCAACACTAAGTAGACCAAGCAACAAGGACCAAGAGTTGAGGAAAGGCCGTTCAAAATGGCCGCTCCAAACCACAAAAGAAGCCAATGGCAAAACCAGCTTTGCAAACAAGGTAACACAGTGGAGTTGTTTGTGAGCTACACAATCCAAATTGGCTTGGAGCTGATTTTTTTATCTTTATGAAGTTACCCAAATCTAAATTACACCAATGACCACCTAAATCCTTCCTGCTTCTAAAAGACAATCTGTGTAGGAAGATCTCACTGGACCGAGATCATCTCCAAGTCTGCCGTTTGAGACCTTTTAACTGGAAACACTCAACTTTCTGGAATATTTTGTGCCGTTTACTTAGGAATGATGACTCAGTTCTAATTAACAGCCACTGACTTTCCTGTTAAACTCTCCATCACAGATACTAGGCCAATGATTGAATAAAAAAGTACAAGTCTGTTTTTTTTTTTTATCTTTAATGAATGTGTCGAGTTTGATAGGATATAAAGCAGGGCTATCAGAAGGTTAAAAATCAACCAGTTCTAAACCATAAAGACTTTCCTAAATATACTTGAGTAGAGATGCTATGCTTCGTGTCAAAATCACAAGTACTTGCTGATACTTAATCCAAAAAGGTATAAACCCAACAGTACAAAAATAGTCTTATCTTCAGTTGGTCTAAACCAGTGGTGGGTTTCTACCGGTTCGCACGAACCGGTAGTGGCGGTGGTGGAAGGCTCCGCCCAGCTGCCCAGACATCATCATGGACGCTTTGCGCATGGGCAAAAGATTCTGCAAATGTGCAGAAGCGCCGTGTGTGTGCGCGCTCACAGTTCCGAACCGCTAGTGGAGGTAAGTGGAACCCACTACTGGTCTAAACCATCCTTCCTGATCAAATGTAAACTCCTACAGATTTCTACACAAATGGAAGACACAACTTGGAGAAAACTACTCTGAATTAATGTCCTAAAACTTCAGTATTATACACATTTTCCCTGGCCAAATTTCCTTTGACGTTGGCAGGGTTTACTCCTGAATCAACAGGCAAAGGATTACATCGTAGGAATATTAAGAAGTATCGCTATGACTTTTGTTTCATTTTTCCTTATAAATACCTGACTTAATTTATTTTTTTAAAAAAATGGGAACATATCCCCAGAAAAAAAATCTTGACCATTGTATATTTTGCTGCCATTAATATTGCTTCAAGATATTTGTTCTGAGTATCCCGTTTTTTGCACAATGCATTCAGAACTCTAAAACAAACATACAAATTCAACTCTAGTTGTTAAATTTTCTAAAACAATTTAGTCCATGTATGGTGCTGGAACCATAATTACTGGAACTGCAACTAACATGCCAATTAATGGAATTATGAAACTTAAAATTTCAGTACATCTGGGTCTATCGGCGTAGAAAAAGGTTGCTTCTAGTACATGATTTTTTATGTATAATTCAAAGGATACAGCCATTGGAACAGCATGTCAAATGAATTTGCTGTTCTAAATCTAATGTAAAACAACAACAACAATGGAATTACCCTCAGTCAGATGTCTCATATTAATTGTCTATTTTCAGAGGGTGACAATGATAATTTGTGATACAGTGACTTCACTTACAATACAAGTTGTTTTCTACACATACACACTAATATCTTAGAGTCTAGTCTTTATCTCTTGGTTTAGGGTTAAATCCCCCAAATACCAAAGATGACAACAAGGTAATCAAAAATGTCAGGTTTTAGGAATACCATTCTTTTCCACATCCACTAATCCTTCTTTCTCATTTCTACTCATATCCTCATTTCACTCCACTGGAATCAAATCTAACTGAGCCCTTAGTCCAGATTTCATTTCCTTCGTTGCAAGAATAACCGCTATCAGTGTTCCTGGCTAAAAATCTTCTTTCCATATCTTTCCCAGAAATTCCACACTTATCTTCCTCTAAACCATACCAAGAATGTTCAGCCAGTCCTAAGTTTATGGATGTTATCCCACTAGTCACAACCTAGTTATCTACACAGACTTTGGATACTTGAGGTAATCAATACCAGAAGACTGAGAATGGTGGAATTACCAAGAGTTTGTTTGTTTTTTTTGTTTCGAGCATTTGCAGATCTGGATAGAGCAGGGGTCACCAACCTGCGGCTCTGGAGCCGCATGTGGCTCTTTCACCCCTCTTCTGCAGCTCCGTCACTCAAAATATGTGTCACAACTGCCAATGTGCGACACCCACCGGCAGGTGATTTATTGAGCTTTTCAACCCACGGTAGGCCAACCATGGATAAATCCAAGAAAATAAAAATTTCAGAAGAAAACAGAATTCAACTACATATGCTAGTTTTGTGGCCACTCAAGAAATAGTTAGGCACGGGAGGGGTTTTGTGGCTCCTGTTTTTTTCTTTTCTGTGGGAAACGGGTCCAAATGGCTCTTTGAGTGTTTAAGGTTGCAGAACCCTGGGATAGAGCTACTGATCATTAACAATATTCTCAACACCTTTAGCAATTCTATAACATGCAGTTAGAGGCATAATAAAAGAGGCAGCCCAGATAGACTTTAACAAGTGATCGAAGTCTAGCGAAAAGGTATCAAAAAAAGCAAGCAAGTCTATCACTGCTAATCTTCTTAACTCCAATTCACAGCCTCTCTACTGGTAGTCTTTGAGATGGAGTGAAAATACATTCAGGAATATTGATGAGTGACAGTCCTTGAGGAAACTGCAAAAGGCTTTATGGTACATTCATGGCTTCAAACAGCCTCACTTGATGATTGCCTGGTTAATATAAAATCATATCAGAAAGTAGGCCTGTGTAAGCCAGTTGTGCTTTGTGCGAGCAAGGTTTCTTTGTGTCATGGAGGCCACACGATTCTCTAAGCTTGGAGGTAATCCTTTTTTGGGGCGCTTTGAATTGTTTTGAACTTTTTAGTCAGCAGTTCATTGAACTAGAAAAGGTCCCTACAATTCAGTAACATATCTCCAGTACCCCCTTCCAGCTGCTAGAATTTTTTTGCAAGGATTCAAAGCATTTGCCAAAAGAAGCAATGTGTCTGTTTTATTTGACTTCTATTTTTGTGTGTGTGTCTTTTAATGACCCCGTATCCCTTACATTGGGGTGGGGTTGGGGCAATGGAATGGAGCTGATTGTTTACTGGCTGGATGCCCTTCCTGTTGCCAATGCAGAGTTCAGAGCAGATAATTTACTCACTGTGCTTTCATTTGACTTCTATGAAAAGGCGAAATAGGTTGCTGCAGGAATCAACTCTGAAAGGATATTTTACATGGATCATCACTGCAGCAAAGTCTATTCCCAGCTCTACAGGTAGTCCTCGACTTATAACCATAATTGGGATCAATGCAAGGCAATGTTAAGTGAGCTGCATCCAATTTGATGACCTTTTTGCAATGGTTATTAATTCCAGTTGTTAAGTGAAACATGTGGTCATTAAGCAAATCCAGCTTTCCCCATTGACTTTGCTTCTTGGAAGCCAGCTGGGAAAGCTGCCAATGGTGACCACATGACACTGGGATGCTACAATTGTTGTAAATGTATGCCAGTAGCCAAGTGCTTGAAGTCTGATCATGACCTTGTGGATGCTGCAATGGTCATAAGTGCGAAGATCAGTCATAAGTCACATTTTCAGTGCTGTTGTAACTTCAAACAGTCACTAAACGAATGGTTACAAGTCAAGGACTACCTGTACAAGAAAGCATTTATCTGTGATGGAGCTGCGACCCTCCACATGGATTGAATTACAACTGTCCGCATTGCTAAGGAACATGGCTGCTTGGGATGTAATTGGACGTGTAGCTTGACTACAAGATTCACTTCTCCATTCTATAGCTCAAAGATTCATGACCTGTTTCAGACTGAAGGACACACTTGTCTTTTGTGGCCAGTTAGAAAGGGCTGCCCCAAAGAAGAGGGGGTCAATCTATTCTCCAAAGCACCTGAAGGCAGAACAAGAAACAATGGATGGAAACTAGTCAAGGAGAGAAGCAACCTAGAACTAAGGAGAAATTTCCTGACAGTGAGAACCATTAATCAGTGGAACAACTTGCCTGCAGAAGTTGTGGATGCTCCAACACTTTAGGCTTTTAAGAAGAGATTGGACAACCATTTGTCTGAAATGGTATAAGATCTCCTGCTTAAGTAGGGGGAGCGATTAGAAGAAGTCCAAGGCCTCTTCCAACCCTGTTATTCTGTATGCAAGGAGCCTGTTCTAAGAAGATGATAGTACCAGCATCAAGAAACAGATGGTATCAGTAGAAAAACTAAAATTTATTTCATGTGGACTTTTAATTAAAATTAATTTAAATACTTTAAAGACAATGGCTTTTTTGTTCGACCCTTTCTGTCACATTTTGTTCGACCCCTTCTGTCATATTAAACATAAATAAATTTAGATGCAACTTTGGAGGTGCTTTGAAGGGCCATGTTCAAGATTTGGGGGACAAACTGTGATACTGGGCACACAGGTTATGCCTCACTGCTACAAAAGCTTTATTTGAAAGGGATCTAAACTGCGCTCCACTGGTTATGAAAAAGCTAAATAGAGTCAGTCCCATCCAGGACTTTGATGGGAGAACTTCTGGAACAGCCAAAGCTGTAGGCTAGTCTGAAAAGCTGAAAACACCCACACAAAGACACATATCCTGGAAAATAAAGCAAACCACTTTCATATCGTTGCCAAGAAAATGACGTGAATTTGTTCATGAACCCGTTTGAGACTCAAATTAAACTCAAAACAGACTACCTTTTTATCGTATCAGGTAGCAATGCCTTTGAAAAACAGATTGAATCTGGTCTATCAGGGACAATTCAATTAGAGGAAAGGGTCTTCCTAAAATACAGGGAATTCATTTGTTTTTCTTAACAACTTTATTTGTTCCTATTTCTTGCACTCTTAACCTATGATGAAATGAAAAGAAGGACTAGGGGAGACATGATAGCAGTGTTCCAATGTTTCAGGGGCTGCCACAAAGAACAGGGAGTCAAACTATTCTCCAAAGCACCTGAGGGCAGGACAAGAAGCAATGGGTGGAAACTAACCAAGGAGAGAAGCAATTAGAACTAAGGAGGAATTTCCCAACAGTGAGAACAATTAATCAGTGGAACAACTTGCCTCCAGAAGTTGTGAATGCTCCAACACTGGAAGTTTTTAAGGAGATGTTGGATAACCATTTGTCTGAAGTGGTATAGGGTTTCCTGCCTAAGCAGGGGGTTGGACTAGAAGACCTCCAAGGTCCTTTCCATCTCTGTTATTCTATTCTATTCCTACAGGTTACATAGCAGGGTCTCAGATCTGCTCTATGTCAAATTCCACTGACATTTCAAGCAACTCAAAGTTGTCCCACTTTCAATTTTGCATGACTGAAATGATTCATTTCTATTACAGTTTGGGGTGGGTTTTTTTGGGGGGGTGAGGAGGAGTGAAGATCATATTACTGTTCTCCGGTTTGCAAATGTTGGCTCTCCATGTTTGTTCTTTTGCAGAGTCTTTCATGCATTATATTTCATTGATGTACAACAACACAAATGATTAATGTGACCCAAAAGCTGTAAGGCTGATACAGCCACTGGTCTCGTAAAGCAGGCATACAGATATAGGCATGGCTGTACTCAGGGGAGTGAAGATTTAGGATCCAGACCTCTAGAAATATAAGGTTCCTTTCCCTTAATTTCAGTTTTTGTAAAGGCTTTTCGATTGCTTTACAAATGAGTCAAGGAATAGAGTTATATTTTTAAATCTGCAGATGATTCGAGATGGGGCAGAAAGAGGGGATACAAATTCATAGAATATCTAAATATTCTATGACCCCCTCCACCATAAAATATATTCTAATTCACAGTGAAGAAAGGAAAAGAAGTTAAGCCATTGAACTTCAACCTGCCCTCCTCTTGAAAGATACTCAAAACAAACAAACAGCAAAAGCTAGCAGGAAAAGGTCATCTATGAATAGTATCTTTTCAAATATTTTAAAGATGCATTTTAAAATACGGGTTGTTTTTCTTCTTGAGATAGTAAATATTTAGGACTCGGGTATTTGAGGGGATAACAATCAGTTTTTGCATTCTTTCCGTGTATCCAAATCAGGATGATGGAACTGTAGAGTTGGAACCCATCTTAAACTGCACCTACCGGTTAACACCAAGCCTGATTATTTTTGGACAACACATAGCATGAAGAAAATGAGCATATATATTGTAACTTGGAAACATGCTTAATGGCCCTGATTTATTTTCTATCTATTCAATGAAAACAAAAGTATCTGCCAAATTAGATAAGACCCCTAACGTCTTCCCTACCTACTCTTAATTCTCATCCTTATGTGTGTAGACACATTGATCAGAAGGCAGAAACCCATATATTTTGACGTGCTCGTATTATCTCAAAAGAGCTTCTGAATACCTAGAGATTATTGAACCTTTTCTTATAAAATACTCCGTTGCAGATCGTTATAGAATATGATTGACTCTAATCTGATTCTAATTGTAAATCTGATCCGATTCAGTGATTCAGCTTGATTCAGAAAATCACACTGAATACGGGGGTTTTCCAGCTCAATCTGAAAACCAATTCAGTGATTTGGTCCTATTACAAGGCACTAATGAAACATTCATAGCAACTGATACCTGTGAAAAGAAGCAGAAACAAGCCGTAACAGATGGACAATTGAAATGTCCCTATGATAAGGGAATCAACCATCCTACTTTTCAAACAATGGAATAATTGTAGAAAGAGAGCCATGTTAATTTATGGTAGGCAAAAATCAGACAGAGTGGGTAGCATTTTTCTAGATGGACACAATAAAAAGCATAAATCTTTGAATAAAATCTATTAGCTTGAAAAGATGCTACCTGATCAGTGGAATAAGACTGTTCTTTAAAGTATCCTAGATAAGCACGTACTCATTACATGCAGACAAAAAACTAAATAAAATCTCAGTACAAAACTGGCATGACTGAAAATGCACAAGCAGAGGCACAGATCTATTGACATAAGAGAATAAAGTGCAGGAAATCTAGCATTCAAGCAAAATATCCATTCACCTAGAGTTCCCCATTCTTAGCCTACACTTGTATCTTGGTTTTCTACCAGTCTATTCCATCTGCTCATTTCTAGTGGAGTTCTATGTAGACATATTTCATTTTTGCTCAATGGCGATAAAAATCCACAGCTGGCAAAACAAACAAACACGTGATTTTTTTTTTTTTTTTTTGCAATACTGAATAGAGCTTAAGACTATTTTAAAAAATACTGGCACAAAATTTAATAAAATACAATTTCTTTTAAACATTTTCTTAAAAAAAAAAAAGAGGTGGATTTTTTGCCCCCCCTCCCCGACAAACAGAAGAACAGGGACCTGTTTTATGAAATGCAAAAATTATCTGAGATCACAGTACTTGATTATTCAGATATATTTTTCCCTGTAAAACAGGACGGTTTGCCACTTAAGACTGTTCTCCATCAGTTAAAGACAGCACTGTCTTACAAACACACCGATTGTCAGTTTTTAAAACCGGGAAGAAAGGGGAATGATATGAATTCATTAAATAGATGTAACAAAATGGTGCTCATTTTCCTGACTTCTAAAATCCCAGCTGCAAACACAACTCCAAGAAGATGTGAATTGGAAACTTCGTTCTTCCTCCTCCCAGCCAACCTAAGTCACAGTTTCATTCAAAAGCTTAAAATCCTACCCCTTCTTAAGTACGGCCAATGAAAAATTATGCTTTTTTTCTTTCTTTTTTTTTTTCTTAAGGAAAATAACGATTGGGGTTAAGAAAGAAATAAAAGTCCTTTATGTTCTGCAGATTGTTCAATTTTGGTAAAATGGATCCATTCACTCGTCAGCATCTGGCTTCACATCCAACATGGCATGGAGCTCTTCCGGAGTGTAACCCAACAAACTTTGCAGATCACATACAAAACGATACACGTAACGTTTCCCTGCGGTCTTATGGATGATGTTCTTGTCGTAGTAGTAACGCAATCCGCGGCTCAGCTTCTCATAGTTCATTTTTGGCTTGTTTTTCCTCTTGCCCCATCTCCTTGCCACCTGGAGAATGGGAACCCATAAAATTTAATTCATGAAATTGTCAAGTGCTATGGAAATCAGGAGATTCAGCAGTTCAAATGAGTATTTAAAATTATTGCATGTTGAAGCTCTCTATAGGAAGCTGAACTACTACCCTGTTTCCCCAAAAATAAGACATCCCCTGATAATAAGTCCAATCAGGCTTTTGAACGCATGCCCTAAAATAAGCCCTCCCCAAAAATATTTAAACGTGTGTGCAGCTGGTCCCCGCCATTTCCTCTGGTTTCCTCCATGCACCCCAAAATATTAAGACCTCCCCGAAAATAAGGCCAAGTGCTTATTTCGGGGTTCAAAAAAATATAAGACAGGATCTTATTTTCGGGGAAAAACAGTAGTGGTCAATGGAAATGAGCAGAAGTTAAGAATAAAAAGGAATTCAAGGTAGATTGGAGTTCGATTTCTTGTGGGCGTGAAAGGACGCATGACTGATGATGCATTTTACCCCACCCCCGGGCTCAACCTGGTCATCTCCTACAAAAATTCCTTAATAAAAATTAAGAACTTGACACCAGAAAAATTAGCCATAATTTGTAAAGGTATTTCAAGTTTACTTTGAAAATGTGGCAACACCAAGTGCCATTTTAATATGCCTGGCGCACTTGTAGAAAAGGCAGAACATTTTTGGGTTCAAATACATACACAGATACAATAAACTTTAAAGACTAAGATTTAGCTCAAAGCGGAAATTTGCTTACTGGGATTAATGGATAGATAACTAGAAAAGAGCAACAGATGATTATTTTTATATATGATCCCTGTGATGAGACTATTATATGCATAAAAATGGAAAGACTCTGATATAACCATAAGGGAGGAATGATTGGTGAAGATGGAACCAGCAGAGGTGGCAAAATTAACTTGTTTGCATAGAGAAAGTGCAACAATTACATTTATTAAGGTTTGGAAACTCCTTATAGGCTTTTTGCTGAAAAGGGGGGCAAAAATAAATTTGTGATTTATGGGGTTGACGATTAGAAATGGGAGCTTATGGAAGAAAAAAATTACAGTGGTATCTCAGAACTTGATTGTTTCAAAACTCTCAAATTTGGTACTCAATGCATTTGGATATGAAAATGTTGTCCCAGTACTTGGCCTTTGTTTAGTATTCAACACGTTGCTATAGGAAGAGGGGGAAAGGTGTGGGAAACAGACAGGAAATCAGCCATGCTGGGAAGGTCGCTACAAAAGGAGGGGGACAGCCGCAGAGGGCGGATAGGACGTTAGCCATGCTGGGAAGGCCACTGACGTAGGAAAAAGGACAGATAGAAAGTGTTTCCTGGCTGAAACAAAGGGTCATATGGTAAGTTACAGTAACCTTTGAGCGGGAGGGTAAAATACAAATGTATCTATAACTACTGTCAAAAAGATTGCTTTATAATTTATTTATTTCTTTTCTCTCTCTCTCCCTCCCTCCGTCCTTTCCTTTCCTTTCCCCTTTCCCCTCTTTTCTTTCCATTGTCATTTCATTTCATTTCCACTCTTTTCTTTCCATTTTCCTTTCCTCTCCTTTCCATTTTCCTTTCCTTCCCTTTCCCCTTTCCCCTCTTTTCTTTCCATTTTCATTTCATTTCATTTCTCCTTTCCCCTTTTCTTTCCATTTTCCTTTCCTTTCCCCTTTCCCCTCTTTTCTTTCCATTTTCATTTCATTTCCCCTTCCCCCTCTTTTCTTTCCATTTTCCTTCCCTTCCCTTCCCTTCTCTTCCCTTCCCTTCCCTTCCCTTCTCTTCCCTTCCCTTCCCTTCCCATCCCATCCCATCCCATCCCATCCTCTTATTTTGTTTCTTTTTAAATGTTTGCACTGTTTTTATCTTGTTAAAATGTATCCAATTAAAAACTATATTTTTTTTAAAAAAAAAATAAGAATTTGACTTAAGGCTTTCACATATACAGTCCAGAGTAAGTTTATACTTACCTCATCAGGATCAGAAAGTTTAAATTCCCAGCCATCACCTGTCCAGCTAATGAAGGACTGGCAGGACTTGTCTGTCAGAAGTTCCAGCAAGAATTGCCATAACTGAATAGGTCCACTACCTAAGATGACAGAGGAACAGGGAGAAAAAAACAAATAAGTATCCCAGAAATGAAACCCATAAATGAAATGTTGTCCCCAGGAACAAATTAGAAACGAGGAAACCACATTCAGGTTAGAGCTGTTTCACTGTTTATTTATTTAGCATGTATTTTACTCTCCTTCCCTGAAATCAAACTGGTGAAGGGAAGGCAAAATGTTATTATTAAAATCCAAGAATAACACTGCAATAAATTAGGAAGAGTTAGTATTCAAACATGTGCTCTAAACTGGTAGGCAGAAAGTGGGGTGGAACATTCACACAAGAAAGGCCTTGGTAAAGTGATATCTTCATTAGAAGCCTGAAAGACAGGATGATAGATGCTATGCAGGGGTGCTATTCAGCAGGTTCTGACAGGTTCTGGAGAACCGGTAGCGGAAATTTTGAGCAGTTCAGAGAACCGGCAAATACCACCTCTGGCTGGCCCCAGAGTGGGGTGGGAATGGAGACTTTGCAATATCCTTCCCGCAGGAGTGGGGAGGGAATGGGGATTTTGCAGTATCCTTCCCCTGGAGTGGGGTGGGGATGGAGATTTTGCAATATCTTTCCCCTGCCATGCCCACCAAGCCACACCCACTAAGCCATGCCCACAGAACCGGTAGTAAAAAAAAAATTGAATTCCACCACTGATGCTATGGCTATGCTTATCTTCAAAAAGGTTCCTCGTGTCATCAGATATCTAAGTAAATAGGTTCTCTGAAGCTCCTTGGCGACCTGCTTTTCTCCAGAGAAGGCCCACCTTGCAAGGTGCCTTCATGGCTTGGGACCAGGTTATCTGAGGGATCATCTTCTTCCAGTTCTTTCTACCTGTCTAATCTGTTCCAGCCAGATGGGCATCTGGTTCCCATCAACCAAGGAATGTCAGCTGGCAAGGACCAGGAGATGTCCTTTCTTGCCATAACGCTTGCCTCTGGAACACCCTCCCTCCTGAGATTAGAATGACCCAGAGTATGTTGGCCTTTCAGAAGGTTTTAAATGGCTTAGGGCCTGGATATCTACGAGACCACCTTCTGCCACCGATAACCTCCCACCGGCCAATATGCTCCCACAGAGAGGGTCTCCTCAGGGTGCCATCAGTCAAGCAATGTCGACTGGCGACCCCCAGGGGGAGAGCCTTCTCTGTGGGGGCACCCGCCCTCTGGAATGAGCTACCCCCAGGGATATAACTGATCCCGGACCTCCGGACCTTTCGCCGGGCTCTGAAGACTTTTTTATTTCAGCAAGTCGGACTGGCTTAAAATTTTAATTGATTAATTTTTATGGGTAAGGGGTTTTAAAATTGGAAAGCCAAATTGGATTTAATTATTTTTAAATTATTTTAATTTTTATACTGCATGTATTTTAATCCTGGCTGTTCACCGCCCTGAGTCCTTCAGGAGAAATTTAATAAATAAAATAAAATAAATAAATAAATAAAAACCTGGCTATGTGACCACGCCTGGGAACCAAGTGTGTGAAAAACCAGCTTCTTAGATATGATGAAACTGACAGATTATAATAATTGTAATCTTGACTGCTGTTTGTATTTAGTTTCTTTTGGTGTCCTGTTTTAACAGTTTTTTTAATATGATTGTTTGCCAGCCAGAGTCATGGGTTTGAGATTGAGTGGCTATACAAATTGAATCAATCAAACAAACAAACATCAATACCAGAACCTATTCTTTTTTTTAAAATTAAATTATTTATTTTCTCTTTACATACAATAAGTGCTTAGGGAACAGCGTACTGCCTGAATCAGTTTGCTTACATAGTAATGCTTTTCAGGTTCCTAATTTCTACCTCTATTATGCAACCATTAATAGAACAAGTCCCAAGTTTGAAAATACTGTGTCTCCTTTTTCTTTTATCTTCAGTGTTAATCTATCCATTTCTGCAGTCTACTATTTTTTTTAAAAATATATATTTTATTCTGTAGGTGTTTCCTCGTTTTTCCAGTATTGTACAAATACAATTCTTGCTACTGTCAAAACATGCAATATTAAATATACATTCCCTTTATCATATTTCTCTGGTATTATCCCTAACAAAAACAGCTCTGGTTTATAATCTATATGCTGCCTTAACATTTTTTCGAACCATGTATGCACTTTGATCCAGATTTTTTTTTGTTTAGTTTTTTTTTTTTTTTTGGCACATCCACCACATGTGATAATATGTGCCTGGTATTTGATTACATTTCCAACATTTGGCGGACATGTTTTTTAAACATTTTTGCTAACCTTGCTGGTAATAGCAGAACCTATTCTGGCAAGTTGAGGAGACTGTCCACATCTCTCATAAGAAAGTCCAAATTCTGACAAATCCCCTTGTCCTAACTTGTCTCACAGATAACAGCTCACTTATTTTAACTCAGCTATAATGGGTTCCTGAGAGCTGTCACAAGGCTTGTGATAATATCCCCATGCTGTACATGCCTAGTGGGTTCACAGGATGTCTTTCAAGCTTGAGCCTCAACAAAGGAGTTGGATCCTGCTGGAATTGCAGCTGCTGAATGGGAAAATCAATGGGATGTTTGTCTGCCAGTTTAGAGTTTACGTCTTAGTTACCTAGACAGGATTTTGGCATCAGTTGCCAAGGGAGGAGCAGCTGTTCCCTCCCACCTGCCAAAAGACTCCTGACCATAACCTGACCTCCCTCAGGCTCCTTCCTCCGTGTCTTGCCTGCTGCCTCTCCTGACCTTGACTTTTTGTTCCTGGCTGTGTTTACCAAGAAGTGATAAAAAAGGAGGCAGGTATGAAAATTACTGGCCTCCTTCCAAGACATGTTCATGCAGGAACAAACTGCACAATCTCACTGAGTTAAGGAGGAGGGGGGGAACCCAAACAAACTTGGAGCCAGTTGGTGGCTATTAATATAAGGAGAGGCAACCCTGATATTGTGGGTGGGTGGAACAGGGGAATTTGAACATAGGTGGAGGGAGACAAATCTTCCTATTAAATCACTTGGTGCTTTAATAGTTCCCTTCTTCTTGGAAAAAAAGTCAGATTAGGCTCCAAGCAAGGGAAGTCTGGCAGGAGATATAATTCGTTTTTAGACTCCCCCCCTCCCGCCCCCATCTTCTTCACCTTCAATTTTGAAGAAACTAAAACATTGAACTTTCTTCAGTACAATTTTGGATGATGCTAACAAAGATACTACAGACTCCATCCTAAATGCCTTGGTAAGACCACACTTGGAATACTGCATTTAGTTTTGGTTGCCGTGATGTAAAAAAAGATGTTGAGACTCTAGAAAGAGTGCAGAGAAGAGTAACAAAGATGATTAGGAGACTGGAGACTAAAACATATGAAGAATGGCTGCAGGAATTGGGTATGTCTAGTTTAATGAAAAAAAGGACTAGAGGAGACATGATAGCAGTGTTCCAATATCTCAGGGGCTGCCACAAAGAAGAGGGAGTCAAGCTATTCTCCAAAGCACCTGAGGGTAGGACAAGAAGCAATGGGTGGAAACTAATCAAGGAGAGAAGCAACTTAGAACTAAGGAGAAATTTCCTGACAGTGAGAACAATTAATCAATGGAATGACTTGCCTCCAGAAGTTGCAAATGCTCCAACACTGGAAGTTTTTAAGAAGATGTTGGATAACCATTTGTCTCAAGTGGTGTAAGGTTTCCTGCCTAAGCAGGGGGTTGGACTAGAAGACCTCCAAGGTCCCTTCCAACTCTGTTATTCTATTCTATTCTAAATAGGCAGGAGTTTACACAACAGGCTAACAAACAGTTTGCTAAAGATGGGTTACATTTACACAGCACATTAAACCATGTTTTACGAATCACAGCAGTGGAGTTCAAGGTAAATCAAAACCAGAAATGGCTTAATACAAAACACAAATACAGTTGTAGGTATGAAGGTATGGATATATTTTTATTATTATTATTGCATGCAGCCCAGGGTCACATTCTATAAAATGAATGGCTGTGTAACTGTGAGTTGTAAATTAAATAAATAAATACACACAATTTGATTAGTTGTTGATAATAGGGAACTTGCCTTCTGGATCTTTATGATCCATTTCTTTTTCAGTCATTTATACAGAAAGTCTCCCAGAATTGTTTGGAGTTGGGCTGCCTCTGCATAGTTTTAAATAAATAAATAACAGCAACAATTATTCCTTTAACTGAACCTTTTCATCAGGTTCGCCTGATTCACCAGTTGTGTCCCTTTCTGGATCGGGACTCCTTATGCCCTTGTCACTTCCCACCTGGACTACTGTAACACTCTCTACATGGGGCTCCCCTTGAGGAGCACCCGGAGGCTCCAACTGGCGCAGAGTGCGGCCATGCGGGTGGTAATGGGAGCGACATGGCATTCCCATGTAACACCTCTCCTGCGCGAGCTGCACTGGCTTCCGGGTGCACTTCAAGGTTTTGGTTACCACCTTTAGAGCGCTCCATGGCTTAGGATCTGGTTACTTACGGGACCGCCTACCAATAGCCTCCCACCGGCTGGTATGCTCTCATAGAGAGGGGCTCCTCCAGGTGCCGTCGGCCAAACAATGTCGACTGGCGGCCCCCAGAGGGAGACCCTTCTCTGTGGGGGCACCTACTATCTGGAATGAGCTCCCCCCGGAGATACGGAGGATCCCGGATCTGCGCACCTTCCGCCGCGCTCTCAATACCTTTTTATTCCATCAGGCGGGCCTGGCCTAATCTTTTTCCCCTTTTTCTCTTTTAATACGTAAATTTTAATCTGTTTTTAAATGATTGGGGTGTTTTAAATCTGTCTGGGCCAAATTTGTTTAATTCGGTTTTATTCTGTTTTTTAAATTTTGTATTTATGTATTTTATTGTTTGACTGTTCACCGCCCTGAGTCCTTCGGGAGTAGGGCAGTATATAAATCAAGTAAAGACTAAGACTAAAGACTCCCTATCTTCTTTTGCTCTTAGACTGAAAATATTGGTGTTATGTGAGCAGCATTTAAGTTCTAAAAGCCAGAAAGTTCGTTATTGGCCAAAAAGAAGCTC